GCTGATGGTGGGAAAGGAAAGAGGCGGATGGTAGTGGAGATTGTTAGTGGGATTTCCATATGGTGCCTGTCTTCACTGTTCATTGTTGGTGTTTTGACATTAGAGACGTTGATGCTTTATTCAAATTCAGTCATGGAATCCTACTCTACTTCACATTTTCTTGTCACTGATTACTTAGGGGTGATAATAGATGATCTCTCTCTCTCCTATGTGTTCTTTTTAATAAATTACATTCATCAATCACATGACTCAGCTTTGCCTTTCTGAATCTAGTAACCGAATTTTTAATCTCAGTAGTTAGAATAGGGAATTGTAATGCAAAATGCTCTAGAATATGCACTTCTTGAATTAGACTCCACTTTTACCAGCTCACAACCTAGGGCTAAAGCTGCTTTCATATCTGCAACCAATATGTTAAAAGCTGACCCAGAATCGGAATTGCTTTGGCAGCAGTTCATCCATCTGGTCCAAATGGATCGACCTATTGCAATTAAAAAAAAAATTTAAATAAAAGCAGCCAAAAAACGTTGTCCAGGTCAAATGGATCAATGATTCAACTGCTTGGGTCAGTTGATCGCTGATCAAGTCAATGATTTTAGGCAAAAAAAATAGTTTAGGGGTGAACTGGAACCAGTTGTCTAATCGATTTTTGAGTTGAATGGTCCACCATCTGGGTCGACGATGGTTCTAAAACCATGGGCAAAACAGAATGTATCATCCAGAGTTCAAAAGAGCCTTGTATCATCAGTTCTCCATCCTCAAGAGGCGCAGAAAAGATGGGAAATGGAATGCTTATACCTTGTAGTGATGGCGTCTATAGATGTGAAATACTCTAAAACCACAATACCATTTATCCTTGCATAGTCAGTTGATGATTTTCCTTTGTTTTAATGATTCGGGTTAAAATAACGGTCATGTTTGGTATCAATGCAGTTTCTTCAAGCAACAACAATGCATTGGAGTTTGATAAAATATTATGGGTTCTCTGCACATTTTTTAATGCTATTTGAAATAGGCTTCGCTCAGGGCAAGTTCGTGCTCACACCGTCCCAACAGCCTCTTGCAACTTTGCATTGGGAATATCTCCCCATGAAATAAAGCATATGAGTAGGGAGATATTCCCAATGCAAGACTGTAAAGGCTGCTCGAACGGGCATTGCCCTGATGTAAGCCAAACTCATGCTATTTGGTGTCAAATAGACACCATTATGCRTCACATCGTCAAAAAGGAAAAACGTTTTTTCCATTACAAAAAACATCATTTTAACGTTTTCTCAAAAAGTTGCTTGCTCACAATTCAAAACAACCGTCCGAAAACATTCTTAAAATGCTTAACCAAATAAGAAAAAAGTAAAGGAAAAAAAAGGGAGAATGACGGTTCAGCCCAGGGTCTGACTTTCTAGGCCCAAAATACAGTTGGGGTAGGTGCCAGTTCAGAATTGATGCCAATTCACAGGTGGGATTGGTGCATAGAGTGGGGGTATTTGACATTTTGAATGTTTATAAGTCTACAGTGGAATTCAGAAATCTGCATTGGGTATGTCCGTACTTCTCCGTTTATATTTTGGGAATTGCAGATTTGTTGTGGGGTTGGTAATGCGTAGGTATCAATTCAGAATTGATGTCAATTTACATACGGGCATTGGTATATAGAGCGCGAATATTTGACATTAATTCAGAAATCTGCAATGGGTCTGTCCGTACTTTTCCAGAAAAAAAAAAAAAAAAAAAAAACACTTACATGGCATTGATCTGGATGAAATGCATTAGAGAAAGGGCATCGATGCCACACACATGGAAAAGGAAAAGAGAGACCTGGAGAGGGTCGGTGCCAAATTTAACAGTATGTATGCCACTTCAATGATTCAAATGGTTGAGATCACATGATTCAACCGTTGGAACTGCAATGATTCAGGTTGAGATCACATGATTCACCTACGCTGTCCGACTTCAGATATCGAATCCGAAGTCGATTTCATGAACAGATATTGCCCAAGAACCCATAAAGAAACAAAGGAATATGATTTCTTTTGTAACACAAACCTTCACCTGAGAAATCTTCTTGGCGTCGACAATGGCTCCTAGTTCTGGTTTCTCCCTTGGGATGCCTGACAAGAGGTAAGCGGAAAAGATCTCAGAAACAGATTTCAAAATCATTAGGAGTTCAACTTGTTTAGTCGCTGACGATGTAAAGCATCTAAAATTAAAACCTTCCTGACACCCAGTTGCCTGTGTTCATTCCATCCTTATGAAATTGCAAAAATGAACTCAACAACTAGTCCCAGAACCAGGCGGTAGTTGATGAATCGGGATTCGCTCCTCATAGTGCACCTCACAGCACACCTGACCATGTATTGGGAACATCTCTCCATGAATAACAACACACAAGTTTGGGAGATGTTCACAATGTGCAGACGTATTGTGACGTATGAAGAGCACTCTTGAGGAGCAGATCCAGACTCGTAACTGATGCCTTTAGGCAACCAGTGATACCCATCTAGTGTTATAGTGACTGTATACCAAAGTAATACAAGCTTAATCAGTTAAGTGCCACTTCATAGGTAAATCTTCGAAAAGAGAGTCCAGTTTCCAGTTTTCCACTTTTGGTTGAATGTTTCAGCACACTTTCTCCATCTGGCTAGTTGCAGATTCAAGTTTGTGAGGTGAGAAGGTGAGCTGCACCAGCTTCAACAGTGTGGCACTTGTTTAAGTGCATCATCCCATCTATAACAGCATGCAGAAGGCATAGTGCAATGGTCCGGGAGCCGGGACTAAAGCACTTGAACCATCAGAAACCATGAAAATTTTCAGTCAGTAAATGCAGCCCCTCGTTCCTGACCACACGAAAGAAACTTTGATCCATTTTGGGACCATCCAAAAGAGAGTTAGAATCAAAGGAAAAAAAGATGGGACACCCAGCACTAAACTGTAATAGACCCATGACTGCACCCCAACTGATCTGAACTTGATAGAGAGGAGGAACACTAGATGCTACCACAGAAGAATTTGAAGTTTGAAGTTTGAAGTTTCACCAGACATCGGAGCAGCACATTCCAGAAAAAAATGTTCTTATTCCTTCTTTTTTTTATCAGATTTTGAAGTCAACTCTTTCGAATTTACAAGATTGGATAAAATATTTGCTATAACAGAAAAATCCATCGCAGAAGACCTAGCATAGCAAAAATAAAATATTTTCGGGGCTCTAGCAGAAATTTTCAGATGAGTCATGTCCCCAAAATTATCAATTGGCTTGTTTAACCATCCAAACAAGAGCAAACAATTGACATGGCTTCAACAATCTAGAAATCAACTGCTGAAAGGGATTACAGAGTCTTAGAAGTCAACATGGATTGAATGACCCGGAGATCATTGGCAGATTACATCCATAATATTGTACTGAATGACTCGGAGATCATTGGCAGGCTACATCCATAATATTGTACTGAACACCTTTGCTGTGTCAAACTGTCAGTAATGGAAATGGCATTTCCCCATGTTTAAGCAAGTACCTTGCTAATGTATGTCAAGCAATAGAAGCTGGATAGACGCTTCATTGAGTGTGATAGTCATGTTGGTGCAAAATGTTTATTGAAGTGCTTCCACGGACCAAATTACTAGCTATGCACTTTGAAGCACCTCAGATGTGGGAACAATTGTAGCAATTCATCACGGCTCCGTCTCTAAAGAGTAAGACAAATATTTTGGAGTTAGATTGCTAAAAAAAATAAAAAAAAACACTATACGAACCGAAGAAATCGATATATGCTTTATACAGAACATAGCAACAAACCTTAATGCCAATACATCCATTAACATCAAGGGTTGCTAGTGTATTTGAGCAGAACCTTGACAGGACCTCCAGGCACCTATCTGTCACTCCAACGATTCCAAACAAGCTGTGTTGAATCATTCCAATAGATCAGTTATGTAAATGATTAAGAAAAGAATGTGGTATTCAATAAACTAAACTTTTAGTAGTATCCTGGGCGTTTCTTTGCAGTGGTGCAGTATGAGGCACAATGTTAACTGGTCAATTGCACATCAATCTGAACTGTACCACATGCTTGCCAATCTGAAGGGCTACCATTTGCACATCCTAAAAATCTAAAAATTACATCATCCTAACTATACAATCCAACACTGTTAGCTGGGCACCTGAAACTTATGGATCAAGTGTGCCAATATTTGGTAAGGAAGTTCTTGTAACATGCTGATGATTTTTCCAAACAGAAGGGGGAAATGGAAAGAAAAGAAAAAAAAAAAAACAGAACATTAGCATGTAAAAATCTTAGATAAGGTGCTGTAGGATGAGAAAATCAAATGAGGCACCAAAACTTTGGCTTTCCAAGTTTTCTTTAAATTTAGTATTTTTAACCATATATTTAAATTATTTGTTTAGTTTAATATTTACCTGTAGCTGAATCTCTTTTCCATCACAACAAAGTAGGTTGCTGCACATGAAGTATTTACTAACATGGCCTAGTTTTTGTTCATTTGTTTTCTATTTTATCCTTTATCTTGTTTTATCTCTTTATCCTTTTTTTATCAATAATGGAAAATTTTATTAAAACAGTGAAGCTTTAATTACAGCAGAGGGGGAGATAAACTGTCTTAGCTCCCCCAACAGCATAAAAAAGAAACAGATTTAGAAATGAGCCCGAAAAAAGGAACCCCTATTCACCCCTTGCTTGGCTAGCCCATCAGCAAGTGAATTAGCAGTTCTCTTTACCCAACTGTATTTAACCTCAATGTCCCTAGTCAGCCACTTAAGTTTTTTCTTTTCATTGCTGTAATTCCATATACCCGAGCTGCCCTCCCTAAGCCATCTCACCACCACCTCCGAGACACCCTCAATAACTAGTCTTCTAATGTTCAACTCCCTTGCTCTTTGGGCACCTTCCAGGGTTGCAAGGATCTCAGCCCTAAGAGAGTCTCCTTCACCAATAGGACCTGAGAATAAGCCTGTAAACGGTATCCAGAAATTCGAATTTGAATTCGAGATTTGACTTAAACGAATCGAATTTGAATGATTCAAATGGAATAAACAGTCAAATTTGAATATAATTTTTGTACCGATTATTTAATCGGACCGAATTCGAATATATATTGATTTGATTCGATAATATTTGAATTCGATAATATTATAATATAAATATATTATATTCTAATTTGACTAACTTGTAGTGCACCTTTTACACACGACCCAAAGCGTCACCTGTATCTACTTATTACAAAAGACATAAAAGTTGCTCCTGATTCGTTTACCGAGATACCAAAAGCCTTTCAACTTTTTCATTTACCAAGATACCAAAAGCCTTCTTTTCTATATCTCTTTTCCCCTCTTTCTCCTCCCTCTTTGTCTCTTTCGTTCTCACACTCAGGATGAAAAGTTTTATGCAACACCTTTCGTTTTGGTGCTCAGGATGAAAAAAGTTTAGAGAGAAAGTAAGGAGAACCAGCTTCTATCAAAGACGAAAGGGCTTCTGAAGATTAAACTTCAACTTCTGTCAATTGGGGCCATTATCCAAGATTTCTTGCTCTTACTTTGTTCTCTCTCTCTCCTTCTCTATCTCCTGTTTCTTCTTTCTTTTGGGTTATGTTTTTTTTTTTTTTGTCTATTTTCTTTCTTGTTTTAGATTTTTTGAGGCTTTTAGTGATGATTTTATTTTTCGAGTTTTTTTTTTTGGTGTTGTTCACATGCGATGGTTGTTTCTCCTCTTTAGTTTGGTTTTTAGATTATAGTTTTCTCTGCAAAATCGGTTATAATCGAATATTCAACATTTTAATCAAAATCGAATCCGGTTGGGATTTCTGAATACCCGACGGATTTCGAGTCGAATTCGAATCACTTATTATGTAATTGGAATCGAATTCGAACATGGCCTGATTCGATTCGAATTCGCTCCGTTTACAGGCCTACCTGAGAACATGGCTAAGAAAAAGCCCCTCCTTATTCCTAAGAACTCCCCCAATACCAGACAGCCTTGGGTTCCTAAAGCTGCTGCCATCAAAGTTTAGTTTTATAAACCCAATGGGAGGAGGGGTCCAAGAGGGATTAGAAACCCTTTTGACCTTGGCAGAGTTAGCTATCTGCTTCCAATTCCTCAACAAGTCATCTAAGGAGAAGTCTGAAAATAAATCCAAGGATTTCAGCCAGTGTACCTGATGCAGGAGCTGAAGAGTCAAAATTGGAATTTTATGATATTTTATGTATTTCTGTATTTTTTGACAGTAGGGGCATGTTTAAAATTTCAGTCATTGCATAAGTAGGATCAGAGCTATTGAGTCTTCTTTGAATTGAAATAGGATATGACAGGTTAGTTTGACTCCTAAGACTATTATGAGTCTAACAGTTTGACTCCTAGGATTATTATGAGTTTAGAGTCTATAAATATGTATGGACGTTTTACACAAAGGTAATGAATTATATTGAGTTTTCTTCAGCTTATGCTAGCTATGGTGAGTGATTCCCATGCCCTAGAGTGATTCTAGGCACCCTGTGAATGATTCTCGGTATTTTCTCTTTTATTCCTTCAAGAAGCCATTACAGCCATCAATAGCCATAAAACTCTGATTAAGAAGACCATTCAACATTCTCTAAGGACTAGAACTGATCAAGAAGACCATTCAACATTCAACATTCTCTTATTTCTCTCCCTATTTTCTCTTTTATTCCTTCAAGAAGCCATTACATCAGTTGGTATCAGAGCTAATGGTTTATTCACTATGTTCTCACAAAGTGACCGATTCTATAGGCCTAGGGTATCTTCTAGACAATCTTATAGGTCTAGAATCAATGGTGATTGGGTATCTAAACCATATGAAGGGTCTTTGGTTGACTTATTTGAGAAGATGGTGGAAGAAAACAGATCTAATAATGTTGGCTACGGGAGCAAGGTTTTCAAACATGTCAGAAGACAAAGGGAAATACCATATTTCAAAGGAGATGTTGATCCGCAAGCATTCTTTGATTGGGTTGCTGAACTAGAAGAATATTTTGATTGGCATGATATGCTTGGCAAACAAAGGATTAGATTTGCACACATGAAGCTGATGAGTCATGCTAAAGTATGGTGGAGAACTCTTGAGCAACAACTAGAAAATAGAGGCAATGATCCAATTAGTACATGGGCAGAGATGAAGAGGTGCTTGCAAGAAAAGTACATCCCACTAGACTTCCATGATGATCTATATATGGAGTTGACTAATTTTGAGCAAAAGAAGCAGCAACAGGTTACAACAAAGAACTTGAAGACTGAGGAAATAGTTGGTTAGCCACGAGTGTGGGGTTCCATACCCACACTCAGGCTCTAGTGTGTGTGGTTTCATACCCACACCTAGTTGTTTCTAATTTCTTTTTAGTAGTTTCTAATTTTTGTTATTAGAAGTTTCTAATTTCTGTTAAGTTGGGCAGGCTGGCCTTATTGTTTCTAATTTTTGTTTCTATTCTTGTAAGGATCCTAAAAGTTATAAATAAAGAAGTGTATGGGGTGGTAGATCATTCACCACCGAACCCCTTCTTTCTTTTCTCCTCTCTTCACTCTCTCTCTCTCTCTCTCTTCTTCTCTTCAAACCTGTAATACAGTAAACAGTTCTTCTTCTTCTTTCAAGTTGGTACCAGAGCCTTAGGTCTAGGGTTTCTCATGTGGATTTAATTCAGCTAACCACATGAGAATTGTTTAGGGCTGAAAGTTCAGAAAGATCCTTATTTTGGATGATTCTTGGAGGTTGCAAGAAGGCTTTAGCAGCTGTCGTAAGATTGGAGAGAGCTTTTTGTAATCAGGAAGAAGTAGGCAGGAATTGAGTGATCAAGATCGATTCTTGATCAAGATTGGAGGTGCCGATCAACTTTTTCTTGGTTCTTTGATCAAAGGTGCTGATAGTAATCGATTGATCAAGTTTGAAGACTGAAGGTAGCAATCAGTTTTCTGGCCTTTTTTCTTCATAAACTCGGCTGTTATCAGCCTTGAAATACAGCTTTTTCTTGTCACAGTAGTTTAAAGCCTCTTCTTAACTTAGAATGGAGTACAAGAATCAAGGGGAAGGTGCTTTTGGGATTGGTGGTTCAAGTAACATGACTGAAAACACCTTTCAGATTACAACTGTTAAATTTGATGGATCAAACTACTTGGAATGGGCCCAATCAGCCATGATAGCTATTGGGGGTAGAGGAAAATTGAACTTCTTGCTAGGGGATGTGAAGGAACCCTCCAAGGAGGACCCTACTTATGCTAGGTGRGTCCAAGAGAATTTTTTGGTGATGACATGGCTGTGAAACTCTATGCAGCCAAACATCAGCCAAAACTACTTGTGGGCCAAAACAGCTAAGGAAATATGGGATGTTATGAAGGAAACCTACTCTCAACCTCTTAATGTTGCTAGGGCTTATGAGCTAAAATGTGAGGTTAAAAATCTGAGGCAAGGAGAGAAACAGGTCTCTGTTTACTTTTCAACCTTAAAATCCCTGTGGCATGAAATTGACCATCTTGAAACAATTGAGTGGGAGAGCTARAAAGATGCACAAACATATAGAAAACAGGTTGAAACTAACAGAGGCTTTGAGTTCCTAGCTGGTCTGAACTTTGAATATGACATTGTGAGACAACAGTTGTTGACAAGAGATGGTGTGACTTTATCACAAGTCTATTCCCTAGTGCATAGTGAATAAACTAGGAGAAAGGTTATGTTGCAGCAACAGCCCTCCGAATCAGCCTTGTAGTAGTTAGACCTAAATCTGGGGGGGATAAGGAGAAGAAGGAAGCTAAGAAGGACTTAGTACGTGAACATTGCAAGAAACCTAAACATACTAAGGACACCAGTTGGAAGTTGCACCCTCATCTAGTTCCAACAAAGCTCAAAAATAAGAAAGGGAATGCTAACATGGCTGTCAACACTG